TTTCTTTTTTGTCTTTTAGAAGCTTTTTAAATAAAAATTCCAACCATGAAGGGCACGACCTAATGAGGACACGGTGCTTTTAGCAATGGCATCACCAACATCCCAGCAGGACAGGGAGGAATGCAGCTGCTTTCATAAGAAAATATTTTCTCCCCACCCAAGGGAGACCATTTGAAAGATGCTATCTGCTCAGCTGCAAAAATATGCTGGTGCTCTCCAGAGAAAAGCACAGAGGCATGAGACAGACTGCACATCAGAAATTCATGTTCTCAGAGCCAGGGCTGCCCCTCCCTGCCTGGGCTCCCTGAGAGGGGACACCCCAGCCCCTGGCCATCTCTGCACGGACCCACTGTGGGAGGTGCCCTTTTGCTCCATGTCCCTGGGTTTCATTTCCCCAGGGTGATAAGATGTTTCCCCACTTTTTAATTTTTCCCATTCAGCCTTAAAAAGAGGGCTAGATGCTCAGATTTAGGAGCACAGCACGGCAGGAACCACCAGCAGGTCCACTTGTGCTGCCCTGGGGTCACCACCTTCCCCTAATAACACTTGTGCTTCTCCCACTGGGGAGAAGGTGAAGAATCACCTCTCCCATGATGGCATTTGCATAGATCCCAGGAGATGGAAAATGTTTGGCAGCACTATCACACGCCGCTCACCCACGGGCACGGGCAGCACCAAGTTCAAGAGGTAGAAAACACTGCCCAACACATGAGCAGAGCAGGAAATTCCTGAAGCCAAGTCCTTGGCTCACTCCACAGCCCTGGGCAAGTTATTTTATCTTCCCATCACTGTGGCCTCCTCTGAGACAACCACAAAGAGTGATTCCCACTCCTGGAGGGGCTGTGGAGCATCCACAGGGGCATCAATGGAGAGGTGAAGGATGCTCTGAAGACCAGCCTTTTGCTCCTGCTCACACCTTTGCCTTTGCTTTGCAGAACCTACGAGTCCGGAGCACGGGGGGGACAGAGTTTTTCACCCGCTCAGCCACCAAGTTCAAAGGGGCTTTGGCCCAGAAGTTCATGTTTGTGGATGGGGACCGGGCCATGTGTGGATCCTACAGGTAATCAGTGGTGTCTCCTCCCACCCACCCATGGAGGTGTTGGTCAAAGGACTGACAGGGACCCACATGGTCTGAGTCCTGGTCCCAGGACCCTGTCCCAGACTTGTTTTCTTCCTCCTAAAGTGGGAGATGATTTTTTCAACACCAGCCTGAGCCTTGGAGTGGGACTCAAGGGGTCCTCACTGCTCTACAGCCAGGTCTAGGAAACTCCTCCTTGGAGGTGGTGGGACACATCAAGTGCTTCTGCCAGGGGATGTAATGATCACAAGGAAAGACAAAAGCATCAAACTGCAGCCAGTCCTTGCTCTCAGGTTGATCTCAACTTTTCCAGTTAAACATTTCCTACCCAAAATATTTTGTCCAAATGAAAACTTGCTTTGGTAGAAATGGATCAGTCTTGGGAAGCTTTTGAGCTCAAAAAGACAAGTTTAATAAACATGGAACTGAAACATTTCCTCCTTTCTGGCCATAAGAGAAAACACATCCATTTGTGAGTCATTTTTCTTAACTAAACCCCAACAGAGAAAGGAAAAGCTGCCAACACTGGAGTAAAAAACTAAGTGGCCCTCAGCAAATACCTGGTAGTTTTACTCCAAGTTCCAGTGTGCTCAAGACTTCAAACTCTTCCCTCTGATTTGAGATGGGAGCTCTATCTTCCATCTTGTTATTATTCATGTTTACAGTGAGATCATGTCCCTGCTAGTACCACCAGTCCCCTGGGGGATCCCAGGGCTGGGGAGAGGCACATTATTTACCAGCGAGTGCTCAGAACGTTTCCAACGTGTTTCTGTTCCAGCTTCACCTGGTCCGCGGCAAGGACAGACAGAAACGTCATCACGGTCCTCTCTGGCCAAGTGGTGGAGGCATTTGACAAGCAGTTCCAGGAGCTCTACCTGATGTCCAAGGGGGTGAGCCTTAAGTCCATCTCCATGGGTGAAGAGCCCGAACCCGAGCCCGTAACGCTGCCCTCGGTCGTGCCAGTGACCCCTGCCAACGCTGTGGTGAAGAAGCTGATAAACCCTAAATACGCTCTGGTGAAGGCCAAGAGTGCAGACCAGATCAGCAAGACTTCATCAGAGAACCAGGACAAAAATCAGAAGACAGACAACAAAGGGAAAGCCCTGCCTGAGGGCCAGGCGGGCGACAGGCACGGCGACGTGGCAGACCTCTCCCTGCTCATCCACCCCGGTCTCCTGAATCTGGAGAAAGCCAACATGTTTGACTATCTGCCCACCTGGGTCGAGCCTGACCCTGAGCCTGGGAGCGAAGTCTTGGGCTACATCAACATTATTGACCCCAAGATAAAGAACGTGAAGCTCTCGCAGATGAACCGCATCAAAGTCTGCGACGTCTCCCAGGCCAGCGCCCAGCACCGGCAGATGCTGAGGAACAGGGAGATGGAGAACAAGAACTCAAACCAAGAGCCACCTCTGGTGTCCCCCTGCCAAAGACAGACCTCACAGACCCCCCTGGAAGCTCCTGCAGCCCCTGCTACCAGCCCCTTTGAAGGTGCCAGCTGGACAACAAAGCAAGCAGGAACATTTACCACTTCACCATTGGGCCACCGCTTGAAGCCACCAGAGGAGACACTGGAGGACATCAAGCTCCCAGTTCCTAAGCCAAGAACCATCCCCGTTGGTGTTCTTGTCACCAAAGTCACTACACCCTGTGACAGCAGCACTACCTTGGAGGTTGACATGCAGCCACCACTAGCTGACCACATGGATGCAAAGCAGGAACCAGAGGAGATCCCCAACAGAGCTTCAATGGAGACCTGCCATCTCCAGCCAGACCGGCCAGCAGTGGGACCACAGGAGGACAGAGGGCCTCCCTACACACACAATGGGCTGGGAGAAGAGGAAGAGGAGGAAGAGGAGGAGTACATCACTCTCAGTGACCAGGAGAGCTACTCCAGCAGCTCTGCTGACCACAGCTACCGCCGCTCCAACGCCTCCTCCATCTCAGACGAGTACTTTGAGGTGAGGGATCGCTACGGGCCTCTCCGCAGAACCAACTCTGATGTCACCCACAATGGGGAGATCCTGCCCATCCAGAGGAAGCTCAGTGACCCTCACATCAGCCGGGGCACCTTCCTCAGCCCCTTGGGGAGCCTTCCCTCCCTGAAGCACGTCCGCATGGAGGACGTGCCGAAGAGGAGGAGCAACGCTGTGGAGATTAGGTGTGTGCTGCCCCGCACCATCCTGGATGGGAACAGCTCCTACCCTAGCAGTGCTGCACAGGTAGGACTTCATACTATAACCTTCCCTACGTTTCTCCACCCTGCCAAGGTTGCAAACCTGGAGGTGACCCAGCCAGCTCAGCCAAGGCGTGGTGTCATCCCTAGAGCTTTGGTGTCGCGTCCTAGATGCTGAGATCAAGACTCCCCATATGAGAGAATAACACCCTACACCCTTGGTGGGAGTCACCCAAGAGGTGCTGCTCTCGCCTGGGAAGGTGGTGGCCAAGCCACACCTCTTGAGTACAATGGGAATGGCTGGAAAAAGGGAGTTTTTTGGGAACTGGGGATTATCCCGCGGCTTTGGGTTGTGGGATGGAGCTCAGCAGCTCTGGGCAAAGCCCATCAGCAGTGGCATCGTGCCCAGCCAGGGCCAGACTGTATGTGCAGGCGTGTCCTTCTCAGGCTCATTTTCTACCTTCTTGCAAAGGTGATTAGCATCAAAGTAAAAACACTTGGACACATAATTAGGCAGAGCAAGACAGCAGAGAAACAGGGATGACAACCTCTGTGGGTGAGTGTTGCAGTCAGCAACTTTGTGGCAGGTCCATGAGTGACACCAGGCCCTTGTCACCACCCCCACCCCCAAATAGGGCACATGCCAGCATCCCCACCATGGTGGGACCATCACCCCATCCAAGCAAGGGGTTGGTGGGGTCGATCCCCTATTTCCACCCAAGCTCTTTGGCTTCTTGGACTACCAAGCATTTTTTGGTTTCTCGAGGCTTCCCCCACCTTTGTTTTTAGGGCTTTCAAATCCCCCAGGGTTAAATCGGCAGATGAAATCCCTGGAGCCACCTGAGGTTACCCCAGCTGAGCATCTAATCTGTATTTAGAGGGAATTAAATTTACTAGCCCAGAATCCACTTGCATCTCCCTTCCCAGGCAGCAACACACAGCTGAGAGCAGGGCTTTAATCCTTGCACATCAAATATCTCCTCACACCCCATGGAGCTGTGCAGGGCAAGGAGCACCAAGCCCTTTGATGCTCTGTGACCCAGGTCCCAGATGTCACCTTGCTAGGGGTGGCCAGGTACGTTTGTGTTCCTGCAATAACTTGTTCTGGCCCTTTGATGCAAGGCGGGTAATTAACGCCCCAGAAGGGTTAGGAAAGCCAGCACTCAGAGGCTGGAAACCTGCAGAGGGTAGTTTCTCCCATGTGTAAAACAGCAACCTTGAATCCAACAGGAATCACCACCAAACACTTTTATGCTGGGCCCACGTTTCTTACACCCTGGCCCAGCATAGTCCAAAATGCAAGTGGAGGCTCTTGCCAGGCAAACATCAGGTTTTCCATCCACCTAGAATGCTGCACCTACTTTCAAAACCTGCCTGGACACCATCCTGTGCGACTTGCTCTATGTGAACCTGCTCTGGCAGGGGGGTTGGACTAGATGATCTCCAGAGGTCCCTTCCAACCACCAGCATTCTGTGATTCTGGTTATCTCTGGAGCATCTCCTTGCCAAAATGCACACCACCCTGTTCACACCAGGCTACGAATAGCATTAGCTGATGGCACAAAGAGAACACCAAGGACTTTTAGGTTCTCTTCTGTCCCATCTCCCTCCTGCAGACTCCCCCAGATCTGTAGAGAACAGAGGTTTCCAGACAAGTCCTCCCACCTCCCCTCCCTTCCATTTGCCACTTAGTGACAGGCAAAATGTCTGTCCTGGCAGCTCCATGTCCACACGTTGGGACCTTACCTGGGTACAGGACCCTGCTGATCATCCCTGGCATGATGATAAGGAACAAGGGCAGCATCTTCAGGTAGCTGGCCAAGATGGAGCCGGCCTTGGCATGACTCAGGTTCTTGGCAGAGAGCGACCGCTGGACAATGACCTGGGGGAGAGAGCCAGGTGGAAGGGTTGAGCAGCCACCAACACCTCCCAGTCTACATCAGCCTCTTCCTTGCCCAAACTGCATCCCACGTGCTAGAGCCGTTGGGCATGAGGCCCAAACACAGAGGAGATGTACCCAACCCACAGGCTGGGTTTCTCTCCAGACCAGCAGCAGGTCATTGTTATGCCACAACACCACAAAAGCCCAGTGCAACCACAGCAGCATGTCCTCCTGCTGATATCAACCATTACCCACCATCATCCTCTCCCCTCTTGCCCCTTCTATTCAACTTCCTCCCCAAAGAATGCCCACAATAAGAGGGACACCAGGTCCAGCCTCCTCCTACCACAACTCCACCACCAACACTGCTCAGACCATCATCACACTTCAAAGCTGACCCATGTCCATCCACAATGCAGCCCTTGGGTTTTGAGGAAGCCTCTCTTAAATAGGCAACATCTGTAGGAAATGCTGACCTCAAAAGAGCCCAGACTCTCCCCAGGGGCTTACAGAGAAGTGCTCAGCACCCTGCAGGACTCAGCTGCTCCAAAGCAAACACTGGATCATGCCATGGTGGGCAGGAGGGACCAGGTGCCAGTTCCTGGGGTGGGATGCTTGGGAAGCTGTGGTTTAACTTCTACCCAGGAGCCAGAGCACATCAGGAACCGTAGGCCCCACCACCCAGCTAAGTCACCACATCAGGCACATGGTGATCTCAAAGCTAAACCACCCTTAGTCTTCCCCACCCAAAGACACCCCAGACCTTAGCAGTGATTTTAAGCAATATAGTTAAAACAATCTAACGCTGTCTGAGCTAAACTGCTGTAATGCAGCCTCCTGGTCCAGGCAGGAGGTGTCTCCTCAGGATTTAATGACTCAACACCAAGTTGATGCCAAGAGAACAGCAGGGGTCTCAGCAGAGGCAGGACAGGTCGGGGCAGCAGCTCTGCAGCCTCACGGCCCCAGCTCATCCTGCTGTCAGCACCTGCACTCACTAGATCCAATCTCAGCCCAGCACTGTCTGCACGGGTGCAATCACACCTCCAGATTGCAGGGCAGACACACCCAAAGAGGGAGATCAATATCTGGTGACCACAGCCATGTGTTCAGGCCTTACTCAGTCCAGGATTAACACTAATGGTGCTCAGACCCAATTCAAACATGTCTCTCAACCCAGGTAATCAGAGCCACCCCCGCAGTGGTGTTGCAGCTCAGTGTTGCCTCCTGATCCCACCTCCTCTCCCAACCCTCCATCCTTTCATCTGACCTCAGCAGCCACCTAATCCCACAGGTTGGGTCTGGGTGGCTGAATGCTCCTTGGGCCTGAAATGAGCACTTAGATGATTAAGATGGGGGTTCAGGCTGCAGCTGGAGAGAAAGCGTTGAGATGCTGCTGACATCCTTGATCCTGGATCTCCAGGTGGCCATGACTGGGCTTGGGACAGCTTCCAGCCTGCCAGGGCTGCTCGGGGAGTGGCTGCTGAGGTGCTGCCAAGGGCAGGACAGTGCGTTGCCAGAGCGAGAAATCACAGGAGCAGCACCAGTTAAGACTCGAGGCAGTTTTGAACTGACACCAGACCCAGAAGAATTTGGGCAAGGGTACACCAAGTGGCAGAGAGACTTGTCTGTGAGGACCAAGTCCTCGGCACAGAGGTGTGAAGGGGTGTCCATGCAGGGGAGCAGCATTGCCCAGGCAGCAGCAGCTCATCTCTTTTCCTGCTCTTTAACACACAGGGGACGCACATCTACCGTTACCGACCCAGGAACCCCGCAGGCAGAGAGCAAGGCAAGGAGGTCTCCTGCTCTCCAACACATGAGAAACCCCTTGGGGCCACCAAATACAGAGGGGATGGAGCTGAGCCCAAAAAGACCATTGCAGGCAGCCAGCCATACTGGCAGAGCAAAGCCTTCAGCCCCACCAAGCCCACGCCACACGGCCGCCTGTCACCAAGCAACCCCAGAACATCAAGCAAACATTTAACCTCTCTGCCAGAAAGCCAGAAGACAACCGAGGAGATGAGGACACCCCTTGGCATCCCACTCTCCAAACTGTCCCAGTCCAAGCACCTCAAGAACAGGGTTGCGGGAGCCCTAGGTGCTTCTATTGACTCCAAAAAGAAGCTCCCCGAGACCACCAGCCAGAAGGACCATTAGGTGCTGATGCAGGTGGACTTCTAGGTCAAGAGCAGTAGTAGAGCGTGCCTGGACCTCAGGCAACACCGTGTTACATGGGGCAGGGGATTCTTGTTTACATTTACCTGGTCAGTGCACCAGTACCACGTGGCCATGATAGACAGCCCAAAAGTCATCCCAGTCCAGGGCAGATCTCCAGAGACTGGATCTCGGAAGAGGTGCATGGCATCCGCTCTGGGCAGGTGGCAGGTAGTGTTGGGAATAATCTTGGATGGCACAGCTTTTAAATAGGCCTCTTCCAGGTTGGGGTAACCTCCAATCTCATCAAAAGCTGGAAAGCAGCAACGGGGGAGGCTGGTTAGAGTTGAGCTGAGATCAGCTGGCAAAACACTCACCAACTCGTTAACTCAGATGTGCTGCCCAGAGAGGGAGGGCTTGTTGGTGATCATGTTTTCTTTTAGTTATTTAAGAGAGTCTTCTGTTAACGTTTTGCACAGCAGGTCCCAGCACAGTCTGCCCTCCCTTCAGAAGTGACCCGTGTTCTGGGACAAAGGCTCTTCAAGGGACTCACTTCTTTTGACCTTTTACTGTAAACCCAACCTGTTTGTTAAAGCTCCCTGGTCCCAGAGCAGGGGAATCTCACCTAGGACTATTAAAATGCAAGATGAGGAAGCCTTTGGCTTGATATGCTACAGCTCAAGGTGCCTTGGCACGACTCTCTGGCCAAATCTTTTCTACCCCTCCCACCTCCCAGGAGGCTTCAACCCCAAACTTCCAGCAACCGGGGAGGGGGGGTAGGGTGGGAGGAAAAGAAAAAGGAAAAAAAAGGAGCAAAAACAAGACCTTTTTTTGCTGGTTTTTTTCCTAGGAAATGGGATCCAAGGTCTGGGCTGTAGCCTGAGCCCTGCTGAGGAATATGTGCCATGAACAAGCCCTAGCAAGCGAGAGCCTCTGAGCCCTTGGCAGCCACAGACCCCGGCAGCAGCTGCCAACCAGCCCGGGCTCTGCTCTGGCCTCCCACCCTCTCCCTGCTCCTGAGGGGCACGGGCTGAGCCCTCTTTGCAGCTCCCCCGGTACCTCCAGCAAGAGGGGTTTGGAGCCAGTGGCAGCGCCTTGGGGAGGAGGGAGGGATGGGGAAGCACAGCAACGCTCACCCAGGGCAGCAGCCGTCGGGGGGGGATAAACAGGGGGTGCCTGGGCACCCCCACACCCAGGGCAGCTGCTGATGCTCAGGAGAGGAGGCTCTGGGATCCACACCAGGCTCATGGAAGGGAGGCTCAAAGCAAGACCCACGAGCATCCCTCAGTGGATTCACACCCTTCCCTCCTCCCTGCAGTCCAGCTGTTCTATCCCACATCCCTTCCACCCCCGCCCGTGGGCTGCGGTCCAGACCCTCAGCTCAGCCCCCTCCAACACAGCAGCATGGTGGGAACGTGCTCCTGAGAAGTCACCCTCCTGCAGGTCTGTGCCCACAAGTGCTGCTTTTTTTGACCAAGAGCAAATCTCTCAGGCATTGGGTGCTGGACACTGGAATCACCATCAAGTGCCAGCTTGAGTGAATCCCAGTTCCCAAGACACCCATCCTGCTCCATTGTCCTCCCCTGCCCGAGGACAGCCCACTCCCTCCAGCCCCATCCCAGGGTTTCCCCCAGATCTGAGGCTTTTAGGGAGCTTGCTAAGGGGCACCATCCACCCTTTGCAAACCATCTCCCCATATTTCACAGGGAGTCAGCATTTGGAAGCTCCTCCTGCTCTTGTGCAAGCAGCCCTGGCCCCCCTCCAGCGCTGGGTTTATCCAGGCACTGGCTACTCCCAGGCTTTGCACGGGCGTTGGGCACCAACAAAAGCTCTCCAGAGGCAGAGACCCAGTGCTGAAAGCAGAGATTTGTGCCTGGGGCTGCAGGCCTGCTCTCTTCCAAAGCTGTTTGCTGGCAAGTCATGAGATCTCCACTCCCTGGGATGGAAGAGCAGGACAAGAACCTGCGGGCAGTGGGAGCTCAGCCTGCAGCTGCAGGGCTGCAGCCCGTGGGCTCCGCTGGGATTCACGGCCCTGCGGTGATCAGAGCGGGGTGCAGGATAGCACAGTATCTTCTAGCTGTGATGCTGGCGCCAAGCAGGACCCCTGCCAGCACCTCTGCCTGCCAAAACAGCCACTAGCTCCTGAGTAAGTGAAGTCCAAGATTTGTCTACAGTCCCCCAGTCTGCACCCTCTTGTTGTCCGACTCGAGACTGCTCTGCCCAGCATCGCACCCGCGGGGACTCGCACAGCCCTCCTGTGTGAGATGTCACTTCGGAGCCAAGCAGCTTGTTTGTTCCTCCCTCCAGCAGCAGCAGGGCAGCCTCCAGCTCCTCAGGTCTCCCGAGACCCCAGGGAAAAACTGTGTGACCAGCGGCTTTTGGCTCCCCTGGATCAGTCCCTCTCCCTGCAAACCCTGTGCTGCACTTGGCAGCAAAGCCAAAAACCACCAGGCTCTGCAGTCACTGGAGGGGACCTCCCAGGCCTGGCCACCCTGCCCTCCTGCTTGGGCTCTGCTTTGCTGCACCCAGCCCAGCTTGCTGACAGGAGCTTCAAAGATCCCCATGGCCAACTGCAGCTCCAGACAATGACCAGCAACGTCCACACACTTCATCTAACACAAGAGCTGTGGCCTCTGCTCGGATCTGCCTGGACAGACAATATGCTCAGCACAGCTCCTTGCTTCTGCTGGGGTATTTGGTTCTATTGTTACTTCTCCAGGAAGTATCTGTCCTTTCATTTGTTTTTTGTAAATATACTTTGCTGCATCCAGGGCTCTCCCAGGAGCAAGCTCTGCTTTTGCACAGGGGAGCAGCTGTGGGACCGGGCTGGCTGCAGGTCTGTGGCTGCTCCCACCTCCTCACCAGAGCTCCTGCACTGCCTTGGGTCAAAGCCTTTCCTACCCACCTGCCTAAGCAGACTTCTCCAGGAGATCAGAGAGTGACAGAATTTTTTTAGTTGGAAGGGACCTTAAAGACCGAGTTCCAACTCCCATGCATGGGCAGGGACACCCTTCACCAGAACAGGCTGCTCAGAGCCCTGTCCAACCTGCCCTTGAACACCTCCAGGGATGGAGTCCCCACTCCTTATGAGACGGTGGAAAACATCTCAGGAGTGCCTCTGGAAATCATCCTCTGTAGGTAAACACCTGCCTTTGAAGCTAGGACCTGGCTTTTTACCTGTAACTCCTCAGGGCCAAGAGCCCCGATGGCAGGAGGTGGCTGATGAAAGCTCCAGCCTCCCAGGGGTGCTCCCTGCCTGAACCTATGGAGACACCACAGAGCTGAGCCTTCAGAAAGGGCTGGTGATGAACCATGCTCACTCCAGCCAGGAGGAAGGCACAGCACGGTGCTCTGCATCCCCAGGCAATCCCCTCTAGTGGTGCCTCGTCCTGGCACCACCTTCTACCACGCACGTCCCCACGAGGTGGGATCCTTTCTGAAGACCCCACTGTGGCACCGCAGCAAGTTTTGGCATCTCCACCCAGAGGAATGGCATGCAGGGGAAGCACAGGAGCACAGGGGACACGGAGGGACCACAGACTTTCTTCAGGTAAATGCCACAGTCCAAAACCCTGCGGGGCATCTTGGCCACTGAACTGCTCAGACTGAGTCTTTTTATTTATTTCCGAGGACATCCGAGTGGGGAGGGAAGGTGACCATGGATGGGGCCATCTCTGCTGTCTCAGCTCTTACCTTTCACTGCCAGCACGATGGCTCCAAGGACCATGATGAGCGTCTGCAGGGTGTCAGTGTAGATGACAGCCACCAGCCCTCCTGCACAAGAGCACAGCTCAGCATCAGGGGCTGCTGGGCCCGGCCAGGAAGTCTCAATAAAGCTGCCTCTGTGCTCGTGGGGACATGCCTGTCACCAGCCTCGACCTGCCCACACTGTGGTGGTGATGGGGGGCTGTGGGAAGGGGGCAACAGCTCCTCGGGGGGAGCAGGGACAGCTGCAGGGGCTGAGATCCCACACGGGGTGGGGAAGGGGAGCCCAGGGATGGGGGGAGGGGAGTGATGCAGCCCCACATCATCACACCATCAGGACACCAGCCATCCCCGACCCCAGCTCTTGGGATGCTCCAGCCACCAGACAGTACATCCAGGATGTTGATCTCATCACTCCTCCCTCCTCTCTCTAGGCTGTACCAGGCTTCCCCCTTCATACACCCCTCAGCTCTCCTCCCAACCCTACAGTTTTATTATTCCAGCAGCTGGCACATAACAAGGTCCCCCCTGGCCATCCAGCTAGCAACATCTCTCCCTTCCCATCCCAAGCTGTCCCTCCAGACCCGTTGCAAAACCCAGGACATCCTTACCCTGCCCAGACAGCAATGACTCAGCACATGAACCAAATCATTTAAAAGTAGCAGAGCTAAAGAACAATAGGTCTGAAATCAATCTGGTTTGAACTCAAGTCACCAACTCACATCCTGGGAGTTCAGGGCTGCACCCTCCCCGGCCATGCCTGGGGTATGAGGGGATGTTCTCAGGATGAGGGTGACACAGAGATCACACCCTCTGCCTGAGCTCTCTCCAAAGTGCCTGACTTCACAACAAGCCTTGTGGGCAGGAAAAAACAAAACAAAACAAGCAACAAACCAACAGATGGGATTTGCTTAAAACCAAAGTCTTGCAAAATCCACCATGTTTCGGATGTGCTTAAACTGCTTCCCATTTTGACAGCTGGGATGAGATAACCAGGGTGAATTTACTGCTGGGCATCTCCACCAGCACTACCAGGGAAGGGAACATCCCAGCCAAAATAACAGCCTAAAGGGCTGGCAGGGATACCTGGTCCTGCTGTCTGAGAGCAGGACTGCCAGCCAGGAGCCCCAACTTCCAGTCCCAGCTCCAAACTCTCATTTCCTCCAGATCACAAAAGAACCATATGGATCGACCCTTCACTAAAACAGCTGGTCCCAGGATGGGGAAGCACAGGCAAGAGATATTCCCAAAAAGCTTGCAGGGAGGGCAGCAGGATGCATCACAGACAGAGCAAGTGGGAGGGGAAGGAGGCAGGTAAAGGTTCCCAGCTTGTGGATTCCACAGGAATGGGCCTGTAACAGAATCCCTGATAACTGCTGTTACAAATAGGCACACACACAAGAAGGTTTGAACTGTGTGAAGGAGGAGCAGTTCTTACAAAGAAAAAGCTGTAATAACAAAGGAGAGCTTGTGCATCAAGTCATTGCCTGACCTGGAGCTCAAGAAAGATGCTCAGATACTGGCTGGATTGGGCAGGGAACATGAACCCTATTAATATAAATCCCCAAAAACTTTCCAAGAGCAAAAAACAAATCAAACACAGGAGTTGAAGTGGTGTGGTTCAACCAAAGGAGACAGAAGGAGGCCAGCAGAGGCTGAGCAACCTACCTGCAATGGTGTAGAGCCCTGTGACCAGCAGCATCAGGACAGTGGACAGGTAAAGGTCCCAGCCCAGGCAGACTTGCACAAAGAGGGCCCCCGAGTACAGGTCTGTCTGTGTGGGGAAGGAGAAACACGGGGGAGAGGTGACATCCCCTTGGGCAGGCAGCACCCGAGGGCTGCTGCAAGAGCAGAGCAGCAGGGAAATGGTCAACACCACAGGTACAGCTGGGACACTGCACTGCAGATGCCAGGGGGACACCACCCAGAGCCAGCACTGAAGCCCAGGGTCCCACATGGGTGGCTGTGTCACCACTGCAGACAGGTGTCATGGGCCACCTGCCCCACCCCCTACAGAGCAGAGCCAGCAGCTCCAGCAGCTGGGACATACAGGTGAGAAATGGGGTGCCTTGGAGCATTAGAGCTGCCACAGCCTTGGAGAGCAAAGCTGGGAGCTGGAGATACTTGGCTCTTTGTGAGACCAGACTGTGACCTGAGCTACCTCCTTGCCACCCTGAGAACTCCAGTTCCCTCCACTGATGCCAATGCTCAGGTGCCTCTTCAGGTGGCATCTCACCATGCTTTCTGCAGAGTCTTGGAGAGCCTGACATCAACCTGGTACCAAATGAGGGGACACGTTCCACCAAAACACCAGCACCCTTGGGTGCCCCTTGGAGGCACCAAAGCCACCCCCCCCAGCCCAGCACATCCCTGCT